TGTTGCTGCTGTTGTTGTTGAGCTCTAACTACTGAAGAATAAGTACTGTTGATCCCCCCCTCCCAGGCATAGTGCTTTTTGATTGAAGTTCCCTTCACGGGGCTCGCACCCAGTTTTTGTACCAGGGAAAGTCTTGGGTCTCAGAATTGTGTCTTTGGCCCCCAGTTTACAACAGCAGCAGGTCCCGCCTGACACTTCCTCACAATAGAATCCCCATTCGCGCTCTCGCGCGGGACCTCCTCGCAGGTTCACACAGGGATCGCGCTCTCGCGTGCGTCTTCCTTGCAATGTATTCAGACGCCGCGCCCTCGACACTCAGGAATCACGCTCTCGCTTTGGTTTATCTGACGACTTACTTGGGATTCGCGCTATCGCTCGAGATTTCTTCGCGATTCATGCAGGACGCACGATTCAGCAACCCGCCTACTCGACCTGGCCGCCTGGGCCCGCCTTCCCGACCCGCCCGCTAGGGTCTGCCCGCCCGATCTGCCCGTCTGGTTTTGCCACGTGTTTTCTGCTCCTAGCCCCCCTGCTGCTAGTTTCTCTCGTGCGTCATCCTTCTCCCCCTCCCCTTTAATCCATCCTCTCTTCCCCTGTCTTCGAGGCTGCGCGAAGTACACGTTGCAGGTCAGAAGAAGATCCCCAAGGGAGTACGATCGAAGACGAAGAAGGCGGGTACCCAGGGTTCGGGATATACTTTTTGAGTGACACGCAAGCAGATTGGAGCAAAGAGTATTTCGATGAGTGTAGTTGTTGCTGCTACTGTTGTTGTTGAGCTCTCGCTACGGGAGAATAATTACTGTTGGTCCCCCCCTCCGGGGCACACTGCGTTTTTCCAGTGTTTCGCCCTTCCCGGGGCTCGCACACGGTTTTTGTACCAGGGAAAGTCGTGGGTCTCAGAATTGTATTTCCGGCCCCCAGTTTACAACAGCAGCGGGTCCCGCCTGACATTTCCCCAATACGTCCCCCATTCGCGCTCTCGCGCGGGACCTCTTTGCAGGTTTTACAGGAATCACGCTCTCGCTTTGGTTTATCTGACGATTTACTTGGGAATCGCGTTATCGCTCGAGGTTTCTTCGCGATTCATGCAGGACGCACGATTCAGAAACCCGCCTGCTTGACCTGGCCGCCTGGGCCCGCTAGGCGATCTGCCCGTCTGGTTTTGCCACGTGTTTTTTGCTCCTAGCCCCCCTCCACGTGATCCATCCTCCTCCCTCCCCCTTGTCCCTTCCTTCCATCCGTCCTTTCTTCCCTTGCCGTAGGAGCTGCATGAAATACACGTTGCAGGTAAGAACGATGTACCCCCAAGGCGGCACGATCGAAGACGAAGAGGGCGGGTATCGAGGGCTCAGAATATTCGTGTTGAGTGGCACGCGAGCAGACAAGAGCGAACAGTCTTGAAATGATTGTTGGTCTTGTTATCGTCGTCGTCGTCGTCGTCCTCGCCCGCGACACCCCCGCGTTGAGTGGCACGCGAGCAGGCAAGAGCGAACAGTCTTGAAATGAGTGTTGGTCTTGTTATCGTCGTCGTCGTCGTCCTCGCCCGCGACCCCCCCGCGACCCACCCACCCACCCCGCGCCGCCCCCGCGGCCCACCATGCGACCCACCCCGCGACCCAACCCGCGATCCACCCGCGACCCACCCCGCACCCGCCACCCCACTCCTATTTGCAACTGCGGGATGGTGCATCTATCGAGGAGTGGTGGATGTAGATATCTGCCCGCCACTGGCGGGCGGGAGTATGCTTGTACCCACCGCTCCCCGGGGCGAGGTCTCTGGGCGCGGCTCCGAGGCGGTGGCTGTAGGCATCCTCCTCCTCCGAGGAGGAGGAAGAGGGGGAGGAGGAGGAGGAGGAGGAGGAGGAGGAGGAGGAGGAGGAGGAGGAGGAGGAGGAGGAGGGAGGAGGAGGGGGAGGGGAGGAGGAGGAGGAGGGAGGAGGAGGAGGAGGAGGAGGAGGAGGAGGAGGAGGAGGAGGAGGAGGAGGAGGAGGAGGAGGAGGAGGAGGAGGAGGAGGCGGCGCAGGTCTCAGACCTCGTCGGGCGTTCCGCGGGCGCCGAGCACGTGCCGCAGCTGCAGCGGCTGGGCGCCGCTGGCATCCCCTGGTCCGCCCTGCTGCTGGAGGGCGACGAGGATCAGGGGCAACGCTTGGGGGGAAGAGGCGCACGGTGGACGCATCGCCCCCCGATCAGTGCTCATTCCGACTCCTTCGTCTCGGTCAGACCTGATTTCGATTAATGTCGATGATGACGATCCGATTCGACGTCGGATTCCTGCTTGCAGATTGGTTTCTTGATGGGGCCTGATTCGAATGCCGATTCCCTCTGATTCGACTTCTCCCGATTTGGCTGCCGATTTCCGCCGGCTCGATGCACCCCGCTGCCCGGGACGACTTATCGATTCGCTTCTGGGCTCTCCTGCCCGATCGCTCAGTGACCGCCGATAGGGGCTCGATAGCCCCACGCCGCCCGGGACCGCGCGGACTCGCCAGCGGTGGCCTCTCGCCGATCCACTTGCGACGTTTTGCCGCTTCAAGCTCGATGTCCCCCCCCCGAGACGTCCCCCCCAAAGCTCAGGAGGGAAACACACACAGACACAAAGTACGCTCCCGAGGATCCTCACATACTCAACTCACGTATGATCTACGCTGCCAACGTCAATGCGAACAGTACGAGTGCTTGTAAGACTGCCACTGCTGTTACAGGGACGGGCCTGCGGGCCGTTGGACAATCTCCAACTGGACACTGTGTTCCCGCGCGACGAACGAGACAGTCTCGATCTGGCCACGACCATTGTCGGCAACCACGAAGCCGCGCGCGGCCGAACACGGGGGGATAATAGATGTTACAGCATTGTTTGATAGATCTGCACTCAACGAACCAGATCGCGAACGCCTGAGCCAGACCGTGCAATTGCATTGGTTGACGCATTGTGCCACATCTTGTCGTCCTCCTCCTCCTCGTCCTCTTTCTCCTCCTTCTCCTCCTCCTCCTCCTCCTCCATCGTCCTTTATCCTTGTCTTGTTGGTTTAGCGCGGTGGTTTAGCGCGGTGGTTTAGCGCGGATATGTCAATGGCACGGAGAGTGTCCCTTCGACGGAAAGTCGGGCAGGCAATGTTGGCGAACGGATGATGGCCAGCGCCCCCTTCGACGGAAAGTCTCCAGGCCGTGCTGCCACGCCGTTCGCTGGAAGATCTCACGGGTGCCTCACTCCAGCTGCACGGGCCAGACTTCGACAGAGTAGCGCGCGGATGTCAACGGCAGGCCCCGCTCCAGTGGTAGATCGCAACGGAGTCCCGGTCAGTGCTGCAGGACAGAAGTTTCCGGTGCAGCAGGGGCGGTGTCCAACCGCCTGCCACGCTACGCCCTGGTATGGAGAAAACGTTACGCTTGCCACGCTTTGCGGGCGTGCGACGCATAGCGCCCCCACCCCCTGCTCACTTCCTCCGGTGTCGAGCAAGCGGCACGCCTGCCACGCTCTGCGAGCGTGCGACGGATAGCGCCCCCACCCCCTGGGCACATTCTTTGCGTCGAGAAAGTGCAGGCCACGCTTTGCAAGCGTACGACGGATAGCGCCCCCACCTCCTGCGTCCCCCGCGAGGTGTCGGGAATGAACTACGCCTGCCACGCTTTGCGAGCGTGCGTTGGCTAGCGCTCCCCCCTCCGCACCCCCCATGATGTCAAGGGAGTGCCACGCCTGCCACGCCTTCAAGGCGTATGACAGAAAGCGCCCCCACCTCCTGCGCCCCCCCTGCGGCGTCGATGAAGCGCCACGACTGCTACGACTTGCGAGCGTGCGACGCATGGCGCCCCCATCCCCTCCGCACCCCCCGTGGTGTCGAACAAGTTCCACGCATGCCACGCTTTGCGAGCGAACGACGGATAGCCACTCCACCTACAGCGCCCCCCCCTTTGCGGTGTCGAAGAGTGCCCCGCTTGCCACGACCTGCGAGTATTGCGATGTCTTGTCAGCTCTGCGTGCCATGTGAGTTCCTAGGCCTGCGTCGGTGTGTCATTTGAATGTTTAAGGTGTGTGTCAGGCTGTTGGTGGACATGTGTTTCATGCAGGTGCCCCGTATGTGATGCATACGCCTTGGTGTATGATACAGTGGACATGGCAGGTGTACACTCGAGTTGCATGGTGTGCGTGTGCGCGTGTGCGCGGCTGGCTGCGTGTGGAGTATGATGCGTGTGCGTGCGTGTGTGCGTAAGTGTTTATGTGTTGTGTGTATATGTGTGTCTGTATGTGTGTTTTTGTGTGCGTGTGCGGTCGCATGTTTTTCCGTGTGTGATGCTCGCGCGGATGCAGGTGAGAAGGAAAGGGGGAAGGAGAAAGTGAGGGGTTTTGTGGCTCACGGGTTGGACGCGGCTGGGAAGGAAACCAGAACCCCACGACACACGTGGGGAATAATCGTCGATCCCAAGGAAAATAAGATATGGGAAGTAGAGAGGAAAACGAACATCCAGAAAATATGGAAAACATGAACAATCATAGGATTTGTGTCTACTTATCTGTGTGTCCCTGGGCCCCCTCGCCAACGCTGCGCCACAGGACCTCGCGCACAAGGGCGCATGCGCCTACGGTGCTCCCTTTTTGGCGGACGGCGGCCCTCCAAGGAGAACGAAATCATTTCGGGTGGGTGGCAATCGAAGGGGAACCACACGGGGTGAGGAAAAGGGCCCATGCTGGCTCCACTAGGGGCCCTGAAAGTCCATGTAGGGCCTTTTTCTTCGCCCGCGATTTAGGCCACCCCTGATTACCGCCCACCCGATCATCGTGGATCCTCGCGGATTCGGGGTCCGCGCGGATGTCTCGGAACGGCGCTGGACCCCCTTGGCGGCGCTTCCCGCGCTGGCAGCGCGCTCGGCGCACCAGAGAGAGAGGTCCGGCGCCGGTCCAAGAAATCCGCGCGGGCCTCCAGAATCTTCTGTCGATGACGTGGGTTCTTCCCCCAGGCCCGCGCGACACGGCGCTGAGGCGCCCCGAGGACATCCTGCGTTTCCTGGCGAGGGTCGTGCTCCTCTCGGATATCTTCGTGCTGCTGGCGAAGACCTCTCAGGACGGGCACGAGTGGGTGTTTCCCACATCCACATTGTTTTGTTTGTGTTGTTTTGTTTCACTCGACCCTCTTTTTGCTGTTCCCTCTGCCTTTTGGTTGTCCACCCTCCGGGGAAGGGGGAGCGGGAGGTAAGTTCGTTTGCCCCCTCGGCCGCGAGGGCCTGGAGAGCGCCCGAAGGGCCCTCGGGTGCCGTTGCGGCGCCCCCCCCATCCACGAAAGTCGAGCCCCGACGATCGTCCCTGCAAAATCGTTGGCCTTCGAAAGTTGTACGAAGCTTTTGTAGAACATCAACAGAACGTCACTGTTCACGAACAGCTGTGGCAAAACAAAAGTAATACGATGCTGGTGGACATCCATTCGCAAGTGTACTTTGAAGCAGAATAACAAAACAACAAGACAGCGAACGATTGAAAACCCAAACAAGCAACGAGCATCGAACGCCGATGCAACTCAAAGGAAGAGCAACGGTAGACCGTACACACGCCAACGAGCATCGAAAGTTTACGAACATGGGCGGAGCATTTACGGAAAACAGACGCCGAAGAAAATCAATGGACATCGTCATCGTCAACGTCTTCGCCGTCGAGATGGTCTCCTTCATCGCTTACATAATCACCATCACCCTTATGTATTCCCTCCTCCCCTCCGTCTCCTCCTAGCCTTCGTCGCTCTCCTGCGTGCTTGAGGTTCCCCAAAACACCCCACGAGGCCCCCACGGGGCCCCCACTAGGCCCCGTCCAAACAGCCTGCCCAAGAGACCACCAAAGGCTTCTACCAGGGCCCCAACCGAAGGCAAATCCCAACAGGAAAGGCGCTCAAACACGACCACGATGATCATCACTATTGTCATCATCATCACCGTCGCCATCACCACCATCTTCATCATCATCAGCATCCTTGTCGTCGCCGCCGTCGCGTCACCATCATCACCACCATCATCATCAACCACATCTTCCTTATCGTCGTCCAGAACCATTTTGGCTCAAGTGCTCGGGTTCTCCGCCGCGCCGCGCCCCCCGCGCCCTGCCGCGATGCCTGGCACTGCGGCCTGGCAGTTTCTTTTGAAGCCGATCGCGGGGACAATCTTCAAGAACTATTTCTTCGGCCTCTACACGTTCGCGCTCGGGCTGGACCTACTGGCAGCATGGGCGAACCCGCAGCCGCTGTTGCACGCGAGCGGGGCCCCAGGCGCAACAAGGAAATGGCAACCAAGCTAACGCGTCACCGTTCCTGGCTCACAAAGACTGCGTCCGATCATTCTCAACGGTCTCGAGAAGTTTGCGGACTTCAACTCCGCTCACCGCGAACACGTTGGGGAGCTCCTCAAGAATTGCGACGCCAAGGTCCAACTACACATTCGTGAGCTTATTCTGCGCCAAAACGTCATGGACAATCAGCTCAGCGACCATAAGGGCGACCCGGAGAAGAAATGCCATTTCTTGGAGAAGTGGCTCGCTGACGTCAAGCGCCACCTCAACCTCGCGGAGAAGCGGGAGTGGCCCACTCCTGACGATCTCGCAGAGATCGGCGATGATGACATGCCCGACGCATGGGCCTTCGAGGTTTGCAGCTCCGGCTTTGTTGCCAAGGCTGCGTTCTAGAATTATTTCACCGAGCTTCTCAGGGCCGCCAATATCGACGAAGATTTGGCCTCCATCTGCAGACGTCATTGAGGACGCTCAATCGAGGTTCGCTTTAACCGAAGTGCGACCGTCAACACCACCCGCACTCTCTTCGCCAGAAGAGGGACTGTGAGTGGACTAAGCTACATTGCTCCGCCGCCAGCGGCACCGATCTCGCAAACCTTCTTTGTCGGCAATAACGACCACGCGAAGACAGAGCGCAACGAGATCCTTCCGTTCGCTGCTACTTGATGCGGCGCTTGAATGGCGGAGCACAGGCGCCGCCGGGTCACGCAGCTCTGTGGGTGTCATCGCCGTGGTTGGGACATCTTGAACATTCGCCTGGACCCCTCCCGAGTGTGACATACCCACAGTTTCGCCGCAAGCAAGTACTTGGACGCGCCCCATGGATCTACGCAGCTCACCGACGAGTTTTTCCCCGAGACATGGTCCTTCATCCTCGGTTTCGCGAAGTTCATGATCTCGCGCGCAGACGTCAATCTGTCCGCCCTGCCCGCGGCGACCCCGGCGGGGGGGGCACGGGAATTCATCCGCGAGACGGACCGCGTCGCGCGAAATATGTTATCGAAGACCCCTGGACACCGACCTCGCGCAGAAACTCGCCATGGCCTCTCGTGCGCGAGTTGTTCGGCAAGACGATTGCGATCTCGCATGGGCAGTGCTCGCCAACTTCCCGGAAGGCAGAATTTCTGCGTCGACGGGGGTCTGGTCGCTCTGCGTGACCCCCGAAGCCTCGCGGACACCTGCGACGAGATCGCCGCCGCCGACGCTGCCTCTGAAGACGATCGCTTTGAGCAACGCGCCGCGGAGCGCTCTTCCCCAGCAAACGCCCAGAAATCCCGTTCCCGGGCACGCGGTAGAATTCGCCAGGTCACATCTCGCGCCAGGTCAGACAATCATCGCGCATACCTTCCTGATCCCGAACGCACTCGGCGGCGACCTCCGCATTCGCCGCCCGGAGAACCAGGCCTAGTCGTTGGCCGCCGCGCGGGCGCACTTCACCGACGACCCAGTCGCTGCTGCGTTCCCGCGGCGTCAGCGTTGGGCCGCGCCCTTCAATCGGAGCTCTGCGCCGGCGCCCTCCGCCCACTTCGTCGAGCGCGTTCTGGGGCGCGCGGCCGACTCGAGCCCTGGCCCCTGGCCCAGACGGCCTCGCCCGTTCTTTCTGGAAGCGCGCAGGCGACTGAGGCGCGCAGACGCTGCCCGACGTCGCGCTTCGCAGGTTCGCCACCGACGCCGCTCGCCATCGACGTGTCCGAGCCCATCTCCCCTTGAAAACGGCTTTCAGGTTTGAGGCGGGCGACTCCGCTGAGGTCGCCTGGGAGCCCGACGGCGCCAGATCGCCGAGCCTCCGAAACACAGGCAAGACAAATCAGCCGCGGGACTGGGACGCCAAGTTGAGGGGCGCTGCGTCCAAAGGCGTTTCACCCATCCAGCGGGGCTCCGTTGCTCGGAGGCAACTGGCCAATAACATCGTCGACCTCGATTGCGCCGCCCAGACGCGCGGCCGCCCTTCGAGCGCCCACCGCCTGGCTGTCCATGCCCTGCGGGACATCGCCGCTGCTTTTCCCAGCTTGCAACATAGCTGGACTTGGGCCTCAGTTGATGCACTTGGCGTGCCGCGCGGGATTCTTGAGGCCTTCCTGAACGTCAACCACCGCAGCGTGGTTTCCACGTCCAGCATGTTCACCTTCTTCATCCAGCCCCCCCCCCCCTGGATGGGGCGCCCGCTCAGCGGCTCGGCTATCGCTGCGCCGACGCACGCGTCCGCGGAGAGCGCGAGACGCGCCGTGGACCTCCATGGGCCGGGCACCACGTGCACATGCGCAGACGGCCCTTGACCCGCGACCCTCGGCGCCAGCGAGTTAAGGGCGCGCGCCGACGCGTTCCACCGCGCGCGAACACGCGCTGGCCCTGGACTGATACCCAAGAAGTGCAGGTTCCTTTCTCTGCTCGGCACGCTCGCGACCCAGATGATGGAGTCGATCCGCGACGGGCTGCAGGCGATCGCCCCCTATTGGACCATCGGTCATCTCGCGGGCCCCAGCGTCGCGGACGAGACGCGGGGGGGCCCGGCGAGAGAGCGGCAGCAGCGAGCCGACGCACGCTCCGAGGGCGAAGGCCGCCACGACGAAAGGAGCGCGACATCGAAGGCCGCCCCGGCCGCGCTGCACGTCGCCCGCTCGGGGCCCTCGCCGCCCGCTCTCGCGCAGGCCGAGGGCGGCGTCCCCGACCAGCTTCCGTCGCCTTTTCGCCACTCGCGGGCTGGACCGCGCCTCGGACCTCGGCGCCGCCGACGCCGGCCCCGCCCTCCCGGCCCGCGTCGCCGCGCGGATCCGCGCCGAGCTCGCTGCGAGAGAGCGCGAGACGCCCCGCGGGCCGAGCCTCGACGGGCCGCCGCCCGGGCTGCCCCAGACCGCCCCCCTCGCCGACGTCGCGCGATCGGGGCCGCGGGCCCCGCGCGGGAAGACGCCGGCAATCGCGCGGGCACTCGAGCACGTCGCTTCCCATCAGCTCGGGAGGGGGAAAGAACACACAGACACAACGAACCGTCGATCCCAAGGAAGATATGGGAAAACACTTGGAAGTGTTGGGGGAGACGAAGCTTGAGACAATACAAGACATATGTGGGGATCCTGGAAGTTGTGTCTATCTACTCGCGCGTATTTGGGCCCCTTCGTCAGCCTTTGCCCGTGCCCAAAGACCTTCAGAGGCCGCGGCGGCCGCCGTCGACGAGATCTCCAGAGATGCCCAGGCTCGAAGCAGGACTTGCAGGAGCGAGCGCGCGCGAAGCTGAAGAATGCGACGTTGCAGCGCTGCGTTCGGGGCATGCTCGAAGCCCGTCTGCGCCGCCGCGCGGGGGAGGAAGAGGTGCCCGTGCCCCTGCCATCGCCTCGTTTCCCCCTTGTTGGGCCTCCTGGGCGGCCCCCGCCCCCACCGCTGGATTCGCCCCGAAATCCTGGTCAGCACGCGCCCCAGGAGGAGTTCGGGGAGTAGCGGTATCGGTACCTCTTGGTTTCCCCAGCCACTGGCTTGAGCAGATGAGCGACGTCAGTGGCGTCGACCTCGGTTCCTTCACTGCCTCGACGCGGGAGGCTCGCGTTCGCGTGTCGTTTTCGCCCCCAACATTCGGGCGGGCGGACGAACGATCAGCGCGAGGATGCGCGAGGGAGTTGTTCGCCCGTGCCTGATCATCTTGGTTGCAGATCGACGGGCGATTGGGCTCACTACGCCGAGTTCTTGCCTCTGTGGTCTTGTGTTCTCCAGGTTGAGCGCGCCCTCGCCCACCTGGAGATTCGAGTGAATTGGCCGTCGCACCGAGCGGCCTGAAGACTTCCACCCTGTCGCCATTGATCAAGGAGCACCGACATTTCCAATGGCATCTTCACGCGCGTAAGCACGTCATCGCGCACCTCACGCTCCGACGGACTTCTTGGCGATGGCAGCCGCGCGTATAGTTCAGCGAGCACCCAGGCCCCAGGAGCTGGCACGGGCACCATCATCATCATTATGCGACAATCTGGGAGCTCGCAGCCCCCGAGGGGGGGCGCGAGGTCTCAAGTGGACCTGCGCTGCCCACACCTCCGCCGCACCTCCCAGGACCCCGCGAAACTGGCGACGGCTGCCCATCTCGCAGCCCCCCACAGAGCCGCGAGGCATCGGCTTGGTCTGCGTGGCCCTCCGCCCCGCCAGACCCCCAGTGAGCCCGCGAACGCGGCGACCGTTGCGCAGTTCGCAGACACCCACGGAACAGTGCGGTCTCAAGCGGGCGCGCGTGGCCCTCCTTTCCGCTGGGCCCCCCAGGGGCCCACGAAAGTGGCGACAAATGCGCAGTTCGCAGCCGCCCACTGAACAGGGAGGTCCCACATGGATCCGCGCGGCCGACAACTCGGCTGGACTTCCCAGCAGCCATCGAAAGTGGCGACAGTTGAGCAGGTCGCAGCCGCTCAGGGCGCAGCGAGGTCCCAAATGAGTGCGAGTGGCCCCCGACCCCGCTGGACCACCCAGGAACCCGCGAAAGTTGCGCAGTTCGCAGACACCCAGGGAGCAGCGACGTCTCAAATGGATGCTCGTGGCCCCGGACCCCGCTGGACCTCCCAGGAACCCACGAAAGTGGTGACAGATACGCAGTTCGCAGGCACGGTCCCACATGGATTCGTGGTTGTGAAAGGCAGTGCCTGCTAGAGTCAAGAGGAGAGAGAAACAGGCAAAGTACCAACATGGATATGAAGTAGGGTACATTCCAAAGTACCCCCACCGAAAGTAAGTAGGTACCAAAGTACCCACGAAAGTACCTACGCCGAAAAAAGTAGGTACTAAAGTACCCCCACCATTTTTGAGCAGGCAGTCGCCGAGGCAAACGCCCTAAAATTGGCGAGCGGGGCCGATCGCCAGCCGAAGTTGCACCATGGAAACCACGCGGCATAATAGGTTGGGCACTTGGTGGCGAGGTGTTTGGCACGCGCGCCATCGCGGACAGGCGGGCGGGCGGACCTTAATGGGCGCATCGTTAGGGCGGGACATCTTAGCAGGCGGATGGGCTGCCAGGCAACCGATCGGACGGACACAAACGAGCGGGTCGGGCGGGTCGGGCGGGCAGGCGGGCCGCGGCGGGGGGGGGTCGGGCAGGCGGGGGGCGCGAGCCAGCCCGAAAGCAAAGCTCTCTTATGGTAACGTCTCCCTGCTCCTGCTCCTGCTCATTCTCCTCCTCCTCCTCCCCCTCCTCTCCCTCCTCCTCCTCCTCCTCCTCCTCCTCCTCCTCCTCCTCCTCCTGCCAGAGAATCACTTGCTACCGCAAACACATTGAGAAGGAGAGCCGATGGCTCCAATGTCGCCACATGGGGCTCCGAGAGGTCCCCACTAGAAGCCCCAGAATGACCCAAGGAGTGCCCTAGAGTGCTCATGGGGCGCCCCTGGGAGGGACGCGAATGAGACAGATCTGGTCCTGAAGGATCGGCGCGATTGAAATACACCCCGCGGTTGACCGCTGATCTCAGGAATGCCGAGAAATACCAACGCGGCCCCAAGGCGGCCCCAAGAAAGCCCAAGCATACTTCCAGATGCCACCACCAGAACCCCAGAGGACCTCAACTCTGCCCCCCGTGTTCCCCCGACGGGCAGGGGCCTCGTTTGCGTTGCTTTGGGGCGGGGGGGGCTCCTGGAGTGCGGCTTCGGGGTAATAGAGTCGACGCTCCGCGTATCTCAATCAACCCTTCCTGAACTGATAGTCTAGGGTGTCGGAAAAATGGAACGCAGAACGAAATCACGACCTGCCGACCGTGATCGTGCAAGCATCTTTAGGGTGGGAGCTCACTGGCGCCAGGAGAATGGTGAGGAGGACGAGGATGAGGGCGCGAGGGAGGGGTGGCGAGATGATGTTCGGAGTGCGAGTGCGAGAGTACAGGCGAGAGGATAGGGATGAGGATGAGGGGAGGATGAAAGCGAGAGGGTAGAGAGGATATGGGAATTGCAAAGATACGGGTATGATGGCGAAAGTTAGATGTTCCAACACTCTCTCTGGCCAGCGTCGCACGCGCTGATCCCAGCGCCGTAGTTGATGACGTCGGCGCATCGCGCCACTGGGCTGTGCTGTCAGCCCTTGAGCGACGACAGCTTCGCCGCCCACTCCACGACGTCCGAGCGCACGTAGCTCATGATGTTCGCCTCGATCATCTCCTTCTTGTAGGTGTTCACGACGCGGCGCAGCTTCGGCGGCTGACCGTTGCTCGTCCGGTAGGCGTGGACCAACAGCGCAGTGTACTTCGTGGCGAGGGCCATCTTCAATACGTCATTGGCCTCACTGATGGCCTCGCTGTCTGTCGTGACGTCGAAGGTCTGAGCCCACGACTTCGCCTGCGCCATGGCCTCATTCACCTCATTGATCATCGTCTGGTAGGCACTCCCGTCAATAGTCAAGATGGTCTCCTCAACCCGCTGCAAAACTTTCTCGATGCCCACGCCCTCATTCAGCCCCGTGTCCCATGACTGGTCGTAGGAGTCGGTGCCTTTGGAGAGCGGCTTCAACACATTCGTCTTCTGCTGGAGGGATGCCGTCATCATGTCCGTGCACGCCTGCGCTGCCACATTCATCTCGTCGATCGATGCCTGCAGGTCCACGTTTAAACTGATCACCTCGTGCGCGAAGCCAGCGGCCTGGATAGACAAGATCGCGGAGCGAATGCCCTGCACGACGCGGACCGCGTTGACCTCAAGCAGCCGAGACTTGTCGTCGCCCGCCAATCGTATCCACTCCTCGCGGTGCTGCACGAGCGGGCCCCAGTGCTGGAGCATGGCTGTCACCTTGTTGAGCTTGGCCGCATGGTCCTCGACCAACCAATCTGTCTCGGCGAGCTTCAGGAGGATGTGCAGGTACGGGGTCACGTCCTTCGGCTCACCGCAGTTCTTGCAAGCACACTCGTAGATGTGCGAGAAGATGGCGGCGGCGCTGTCCCTGTAGTCCGCCACGCCCTTGCCGCCAGCGGCCAGCACAGAATCGATCACGGGGATCACTCCGTTGCGCTTCTCGGGATTGGTCAGGAACTCCTCGGTCATGGACGTCGCAAGCCGCGAGAGGCCCTGGCAGGCGTTGAACTGGTTGATGTCGCGTTCCCTCCTCTCGATCTGGTCTAACGCTTTCAGCCACAAGGAGAGCTTCTCTGGCAAGCTGGTCTTAGCCATGATGATCAGCGCCTTCATCTCGGCCAGCCACGCAGTCAGTGCGGGGTCAGCCGCGCCGTTGACACCGTCGCCAAACACGTAGCAGTCGACGTACTCGCCGATCTTCGCGGCCACCTTGAGCTTGAAATTGTCGAAGGACCCTGGCCGACAATACGTCGCGACATTCGGCAGCGTCTCGAGCGCGGCCTTCAGAGACCCAGACTGCACCACCGCGTTGATGTCCGAGCCAGCGTCCAGCGTCGACATCGTCTTCATCATCACGGGGAAAAGCTCATTCGTCTTCGGGTAGAACTGGTCGAACTCTTCCTATGCCGAAGCCCACCACGTTGGAAACAACTCGCTGGGGGGCAGGCCCGCGCATGTCGAGGCTGTCGCGAAGGGCGACGGAGCGGAGGCGAACTGGGCTCCGAGCTGGGCGCGAAAGGATGGCGGGGGGCTCTATGATGGACGGGTCGGCCATTGGGGCGCGCGCGAGGGGGGGGCAGAAACCAATCAATGCACGCCGCCCCAATGGCCGCCCCGTCCACTACCCAGGCACCCCGCACATCCACACCCCACTCGAGGCCCACCTGGATCCCCTCCGCCCCCAACTCCTCTCCGGTCACTCCCCCCACCCCTCGCCCCCGCCCTCGCTAGAAACAAATCGCACGGAGAAACTCCTAGCCCCCCCCCGCCCAACTGCCGCACCCCCGACATGCGCGGACAACTGCCCTCGGGCGTTTAACGTGGGCTTGGCCTTGAGAGCAGTGTAGTGCGTCGAGCGCTTCACGGCCAAGTTCAGGTGGCGCAAGCACACCTTCCCAAGCTCCGACGATCTGGCATCCGTCATTGTCGTGAGCGCGCCGCTGTACTCCAGGCACATGGGGTCTGCGATGCACAGCAGCGCTTTCAAGCACGTAGTCATCGACGAAACGAGCTCGTCGAAGGTCTCATCGTCAGGGCACTTGTCGTCGAGCCAGTCGAGGCACGTGCTGCAGAACGCGACAAGCTTGGACTGCCCGCCCCTGCCAGCCTGGATGTGGTAGGCCAGCGCCTCCGAAAAGAACCCTTCGCAACTGGACATCTTGTCCGAGACGCTACCGTCGCAAGTGATGACCCTTGGGCGCGTCGGCTTGAACTTGTAGTCAACGTTGCCATCTGGATGAGACTCACCTCCCATGGCGCGATGATGTAAAAGAAATCGTTCATGTCCATGTCGGGCAACTTGATCGTCTCTGTAACCTTCGAGGCAACGCCAGGGGGGTCGGCGTCCGAATCGAAAGCTCGGCTGGGCCCGCGGAGCGGAGATGAACACCGCCCTGCGCGCTCGACCGATTGCTGCCTATGACCCACCCCCAGCGTGAACCACTGACCTTCAGCTTCAGCACGTCCATCTCCCACTTGCTCGGCATATCCTCGTCGCCCTTCTCGATGGCACAGAGGAGGTCCTCGAGCTTTTGCTTCGGCACGGTCGCGATGGGCTTCTCGACGAGCCCGCAGATCGCGTCGCAGACCGAGATGTGCTCACGTAGTTTGTCCGCTGTCTCTGAATCTTGCACCGTGGGATTCGACTCCATGATGGTCGCATGCGACTCCTTGGCCCAGCGAAGTTCGCGGCCCATGGCGACGCCTGACCAGCACCTGTTCACGTCCAGAGCGGCAATGCGACGATCGACGAGCTCCTCCACTTCGGACTGCTTTGCCTCGGACACCGCCGACTTGGCTGTGCGGGGCTTCGCTCCTGGGGTCCTCGGCACACCGCGGCCACCCTCGCCCGTGAAGACGGTCCGCGAGCAGGCCATCGCCGTCGGGTTCAGCATCGGGCCAGCCGAAACAGCAACAGCTCCACCAAGCTGCGACCCAGCAGCCGCTTGGGCACCGCTCGGGCTGCCGAACTGGCTCGAGTCGTGCTCCTCGGCAAGCTGGCGCGCCACCTTGAGCTCCTCTTGCGCCTTCCTGTAGGCATCCCCCTTCAACCTCAAGGACTCCAAGGTATGATTCTCCGTGCGCGCCTTCACGCAGACGGTCTTCATCTTGCTCTCCTGCGCAATTGCCTTAGAGGGGTCCACTGCGCAACTCGCGCAAGGATGCCCGACAGCGCCCCTGGCCCCGATCGCCACCCCCATCCCCTGAACGAAGGGGGGGATGGGGAAGGGAGGAGCGGGCGGAGTAAGAGGGGGGGACAAGGTGACGAGGGAGGAGGGTGGGGAGGACTAGGACGACAAGAAAGATATGGAAGAGGGTCAAGAGAATATGCACCAGCAATTAGCAGGGCCAGGTCCAGAAGGGGGAGGAGGATGAGCGGCGGGAGAAATGCCCAACAACCAACACGGCTGGCTGAGGAACGATAAAGAAGGTAGAGGGGGCGAAGGCCGCTGTCGGACACTTAAGCGTGAGTGGCCCAGTGTTCCACCGCACCGATCCTTCTTCACGTACGCGAACGTGCCCGCAGACTGCGCCTCGAACATCTGCTGGGACGGCACCATCTTGTGCGCGGCCATCTTGGCGACGACTTGGGTGGCCACGTCGTACTCCAGGTACGGGCGGTTCGGGCTGGGTATCAAGATGCCTTTGTAGCAGTTCCCCTCGTGGTCGGGCAGGTCCTGCAGCTTGATGCCCAGCTTCTCGGGGTCATCGTGGAGCACGTCTGCCACGAGCTGCGCGCGACTCAAGCCGACCATCGGCTTCACGACCGAGACGATGAACTCTGTCCCCTCGTCGACGGACGTCGGGAAGAACTGCCCGCGCTCGCCCGCCTCGGTTCGCTTGGCTTCCTCCCAGCAGTCGTGGATGTGCGAATCCTCGTCCTGCACGCCCAGCTGGACTACCTCCAAGGAGCCGAACTGGGTGAAGCCCTTGGAATACCTGTCGAAGCAGGCGGTGCAGGACGGCACCGTCGTGTCCCTCATCTTCTGCTCGGTGTCGGTGCAACCACACGTGCCGCACTCGAAAGCGGACGAGAACGCAGCCAACGAGAGCTGGGGTTGGGAGTGCACGTCGTCCCCATCGCCGCCGCCGTTGCCACTCTTCTTGCGCTTGCGGGCGGCTCCGACTGTCCTCGGCAACGGTGGTTGAGTGTCGGCCTTCTGGCCGCGCTTGCCCATGGCAAGGTCGCTAGAGAGAGTGACGGTGTGTCAGTGCTCACACTGGGCCCGTCGAACTACAAACAGGAGTGTGCTCGAATCCTGTCGCGAATTTGAGCCAAAATGGCACTGTGGGGCAACTGAGGGTGAATGGGGATCACAACATGGGCCGACCAATGGGGAGGGCGGCGGTCGCCTGTCTGGAACGGCCACTACAGCGCCACCGACCGCACAGCGAGAACCCCAGGTCTCGTCGGACGGCCCATCGATGCAACGCAGGGCGGGGAGGCGGGAGAACGGCGAGCGATGGGATAAACACAGAGTGGCCGTTTGTTAGCGGAGCTCCTTATAGGGCAACGAGCTGTGCGGGAGGTGCGCCACCTTGCACGCGGCCTCACATGTGAGCCATGCCATTGGAACATTCGGTGGAACTATATATAAGGACAGTATTCCCCTTCGGGAGCGGGGGCGCTCCTCCGCCTACCCCCGTCCCCCTGGGTCTGGACGAAGGGCCCCACCAGATGCAATGGAGTAGTTGGTGGCCCAATATGGCTCCGAGAGGGGCCCCGATGGCCAGAGATGGTCTCCAGAGGATCGAGCGCGATAGCCCACGATTGCTCCAGGTACTTTCGAAAGTGTCCCCAAGAGGCCCAATGCCATTCCAAATGTGGCTCCAACTAGGCACGGGGCCACCCAAGAGATGCACAGAACGGGCAAAAGGTCGTACAGAAGACCAGGTGATACTCGATGGTTCGACTCCGATCGACTCAGGTGGCTTCGAGATGGCCCCAATAAAACCCAGGAGGACACTTGAGAGGCACAAGAAAGCGCACAGGGCGGCTCCAAGGGCGTCCAGGAGCGCCCTGAGATCACCCCAAAGTAGCCCACAATAGTGGATAATTCGAGCCCTACTGTTGAGGGGGAGGAAGCACAACTCCTGGTTTGATCGGCTGTCCCCGAGTGAACCCCAGAGCCCTTGACATTGCACCGAGAGGACACCAATATGGCCCCACGAGAACCACGAGAGAATGCACAAGACGTCCGTACTAAAAAATTATTTGTTCCAAGAGGCTATCCGAGACTTACTTCGACCTTTGATGCCCATCTTATTAGCTATGCGATGGGCAAGATAGCAACTCGTCCATGCAACTCACTTGGGCATCGTATCTGGATGGGTTGGCGGGGGCGCCCAAAGCTGGTAGGGAGGGTGCCCAACGCGCGCATGACACAAGCCTGGTCCTCAACCGCCTCCTCTCCACCGCTCCTTCAGTTAACCCTCCTCCACTCCCAAGTCGGTTCCTTACCACCGATCCCCGCTCATCCTTCCGCCCTTCGACCTCCTCCCTCCACCTCTCCTAGCCTCGCCCCCTCATCTCCCCCCGCACCCTCTTCCAGCGCGAGCGCAGTGCACGCGCGGGGCGCGGGCCTGCTGCGACCGCCGCGCGGACGTCGTCCACGGTGGCGGCGCCCGCGTGGCGAGGCAGGCGCGGGCGGGCAAGACAGACGCAAGCGGAGGATGACGACGACGCCGATTGTGACGACGCTACCACGCTCGAGGACGACCCGAGAGGAGGTTGCGAGGACCTAGCGAAGGACGGAATGGACGAACGAGTTGTGCAAGTGCCGATAAGAGGGAACTCAGTAAGGTGGAGGGGAGAGGACAGTAAATTACTATATGACGAAGCGGTGGAAGAGGGGGAGCAGGCGGAGGCACGTTCAACCACACAAACATGGTAGCAGAGCGGCGAACGGATGAGGCGAATGTGAGGAAGAACTTTACTAAATGGAGGAGGTGGAGGAGGGAGGGAAGAGGACGGGTGATGAGGATCGGCAAGATGAGTGGCGGTGAAGGGCGAGAAAGAGGGGGCAGGGGGGGACGGGGAAGGGAATCGCGAGAAGGAAGGAGGGGGGCGGGCTTGTAATGGAGGACGGTTGGTTTTCAGCGGCATCTAGCCGCGACCCCTCGACGCGCAGCACGGTCGCGCCAGGAGGCGTCGCACGAGTCAGGCGGCCACTCGACCGCACACCCCAGACTGCGTCAAGCGACGCTCGAAGCAAGAAATTGTTCACACTTGCGCGCCGATGGTGCGCCAGCAACGAAGATGCACGCGAAAATCCACATGCGAGGACTCACATAAAAGGGCGCAGCTGCCTCATCATAACATTCATCCCGCCTCCTTCCCTCATCATTGGCGTGGTCATTGACCCCCCCGTCATCATCGTCGTCCCCCTCTCTGTCATCATTGAGGCGATGCTGCCTTGGCAACTGCACCAGCGACTCGCTATTGCTCCGTGCCCTCGGGGTCACGCACAACCTGGCTGGCAGATGCAAGTTGGTGGCCGAGCTGGTCAAACACGCAGCCATGCGAATCGTCGGCCACGTCAATCCAGCCCCGTCTCTCAAGCGCCAGGGCGGCCTCACTCTCGCTGTAACCGCTCGGGGCTGGTCCGCCAAAACTTGGCTTCAAGATCCAACGACGCTTGCTCTGAGGAGGCACGATTTGCCCGAACGCTGGGTCCGAGCTTTTCGCAGGCGTCTCCGAGGCGGGCGAAGTGACACCAAACTTTGCGGGCGTCTTCGCACCAACGCTGCTGTCGAGACGGCTGGCATGCTCGGCTGACATCGGCAGATCTGCCTGAGCCCCCCTCTTCCTCTGAGGGCTATCCTCAACTAAAACGCAAACTGCATGTGTGTCGGCCTCTGGGACCGCACGCTTCGGCGCCGACGGCTCTGGCGGCGTGTTGGCCACCGCACTCGCCGCGGCGCCCGCGGCAACCTCGGCGCAAGATGCCCCCGGCGGTCCCCCCTCAGGGTCGCCATCGGCAGCGCCCGAGCCACGCCTCGGAGGAGCAATCCACCCAGAAGGCGCCAGTTGGCCAAGGTGCGGCCGAACTTCCTCGGCGCCCTCGTCAGCTGGCAGGCAGGCCCGCGGCGCAACGCCGTTCTCGGCGTCATAGCACGCTTGCTCTGCCCGCCAGCCCGAGTCGAAATGTGACAGCTCCTGGGCGCTCAAAGACAAAGGGGGCTTAAAATTGTTGTGCTCATCCTCTGGCCCAGCCTGCTTGTCGCCGTCTGTCTCCTGACGGTGGCCCTCCGAGCAAACAGAAGAAACTTCGGTCGGCGCGGGCGGGTCGGAGTACTGAGGTCCAATGATGAGGATAGTACAAGGGATCGTTGCCTCGACCCGTTGCTCGTAGCTCGTGGGTTTGGTGGGGTCTGTGACAACTAGGTTGAGGCTCCCCGTCAACTGGAACTCCATTGGCGCCAGCACAGTTCACCTGACAATGGTACGCCTTCGAAATGCGCGCGTGCTACAACTAGCTTGGACCAGATGGCGGCTCTGACCACGAGGATAGAATGCACATGACAGGGGCAACGCGTAATTGTGGCGGTGCGTTTTACAGTGAATGAGCAGCGCCGAGTGGTGATGGTATTTGATTTCTGTAGAATTTCATGCGTTAGCCAGCGTGGGCCCCAAAGGGCCCATTATTGCAACAGGCGCGGTGCAGTATACGTGGTGCTGTGTATGCGATGCAACCGTGTAATGCAAACTTTGCGGTGCAATTCAACGTGCTGCTATAGATGAGATGCAACCTATGTGTTCCAGTAAGTGCAGCGCCTTTTGTGGTGCAATGTATGCCGTGCGACCTACGTAGTGCAATATACGCGGTACAACCTATGTGGTACAATGTATGCGGTGCATCCGACGTAATGCAGCTTATGCTGTGCACTCTACGTGGTTCAGTGTATGATATGCACCCGATGTAATGCAATAGTTGCGGTACGTTCTATATGGTAATAATGTATGCCATGCACCCTGTGCGTTGCAGCTCATGCTTTGCACTCTGCGGTGCAATGTAGGCGTTGCAGCCTACGTGATGCAATTTGTGTGCGGTGTGCGTACGAGAGGCAACCTGTGTGTTGCAATGCGTGTGGTGCAGTCTATGTGGTGCCATCTGTGCGATGCAGCCTATGCAATGCAGTCTACGCGGTGCCATCTACGTGGTGCAATGCTCGCGACGCAACCTATGAAATGCAACCCACGCGCGGTGCAATGCACGCGGCGCAACCCATGTAGTGCAACCCGTTGGGTGCAGCATGCGCGGTGCAGTGTAAGTGGCGCAACATACGTGACGCAGCCGACGCGGTGCAGTCTGCGCGGTGCAATGCATGCGACGCAGACCGCGCTATGCAATATACGCGGTGCAATGCGTGCGATGCGGCGGGCGGCGGCGGGCGGCGACGGGCGGCGCGGGCGGCGACGGGCGGAGATGGCGGCGACTGGCGGCGACGGTGGCGGGCGGCGGCGGGCTGCGACGGGCGGCGCGGGCGGCGACGGGCGGCGGCGGCGGGTGGCGGCGGCGACGGGCGGCGACGGGCTGCGACGGGTGGCGCGGCTGCGATTTTGCTGCGATGACCCCGAGGCGACGGCGGCGGGCGGCGACGGACGGCGCGGGCGGCGACGGGCGGCGGGGCTGCGACGGGCGGCGACGGCGGCGGGCGGCGGCGGGCGGCGACGGACAGCGCGAGCAGCTACGGGCGGGGATGGCGGCTGCGGGCGGCGGCGGCGACGGGCGGCGACGGGCGGCGGCGGGCGGCGCGGCCGCGATTTTGCTGGGGGGCGGGGGGCGAGATGGCCAACGCAAACACGAACCCCTACATTCAAGTACTTGCCCGAACAAGAATTCGGGCGGCGGCGGCGCGCGGCGCTGCAGGCGGGCGCAGCGATTGCGCAGACAGCGGTGGCACGATTCCCCTTGGCGAAGGAGACGGGGCGGCGCTCGCCCCAATAGCGGCGCGCGTTGCGCCGCTGCCCCTGGGGCGATGCGCCGCGGGCCCGCGCGCTTCCACGCGCGGCGCGCTTGCGCGCGCCCCCCGAGCTCTGAGCGCAACGGCTGCAGCGCAGCGCCCTGCCCATGCCCGATGGAAAAAAACGCACGTCGCCCTGGCAGCGCGCGCCAATCCTTGCCGCGCGCCGCAATTCCGACGCCGCGCTGGCGCGCGCCACCGCCCCCCCCCC